GCGTAATCTAGCCCACGGTGTGGCAAGGTACCACGACACTGGCTTAAAATTTTGCTAATTTAACACATGTGATTAGAAGCTCTGGCAGAGCTATCAGCCTACAACATAACAAATAACACTTCTCACATTGCCAGTAAAGTATCTGTGTTGAATCTGTACGCGTCTGCTCTGCATCTGCCAAAAAGATGTCAAGATACATTCCTCAAAAATACTTTTATGGTTTTTACTCAATCTCGACATTCACTTGTTCTAAAGTTTCCAAGAAAACATTACAGGTCCAAAGGGGGCATCTATGTTTGAGTAAAACCACACAACGATTTTGAACAGAAATAGCTACGTACAGGCACTGTCCGAAGCACCAAGAAACAGACCTCTGGCAACACTTTTTCACAGAGGTTCAGCCAAGAGATAAAAACAAGAAGCAATTATCTCAAATAGGTTAATGAAAGAAGTGCTCACAATACAGCTGAATTCTCCTTGACTTTATCACTTCATTGTCCTCCTCTTCTGTTCTCTTTTGCATATTCACCTGCCCACTCCTGCTTGAAACTGAAGTGGGAATCCAGGTGAGCAGATACTTAATCCTCATTTTAAAATGTGGCCAATGCATCGTTACTGCATCAGCCACCTCTGACCCAAGAGGCAGCAGATTCAGCTGTCATGAAATAGATGAACAATCTTAAACCTTTGAGGTTGCAGCATAAATCACTATCTTTTTTTTTTTTTTGCTTACAGTACCAGGTAACTTAAGGGTGGGGTTCATAAAAAGCTGTTTAAAAAAATTGTCCCCCTATTTACACATGTCATTCTTTTCAGAAGCAATTTAATGGGAAAAATACTCTTTAATTATGATTAGGGGCTGACTACTGGAATGCCCATGCCTGTTTATTCAAAAGCAGATGTTCAGCAGTGCAATGTTTCATACATTATGCTGACAATAGTAACTTATTAGCAAAACATAGTAAGTAATATCTAAAAAGTCTTTCTGCGAGGTTGCCTAACTGTTGGAGTGGGTCAGCAACAAAAGATCAGATGCGACACGTGTTAACATCCCAGAACAATTTATCCTCTACTTGGCCAAACCTCATTTCACTCACTCAGCTGAATGTAATTAGACCTCAAGCTTGTCCTAATTTCAATCTCTGCAGAAAAGGGGTTATCTTTCTCCAGTAATACGTGGCTGCTCTGAAATGCTGGCAGTGATCTGGAAGGAGAAACTGCAAAGGTGCACACCGTTTCACAGATTTAGACAAGGAGCTGCTAAGACAGTACGATACGTACATTAAAATGCAAACATGTATGCCATAGCACCTGCTTTGAGTTTCAGTCAGCACACCCAAGCAGAAAGTAGCAAGAACCCATAAGCCACAGTGCACAAGCTATTTTTAGACAAATGTTATACTATTTTCCCTGTAGCTCCATGGATCAGAAACATATGCTGCAGCTACAGACCCATTACAGTTTAATCCTACCCCAAACATGGAGATGGTAACTCTTCAGATCCTAATAACGGCTACGCTACCCAAGGAGCAATGCACTGTTCCAAGTCTTTGCTATGGTTCAGGCTACACCATCTGGCTCAGAGCAAGCTAAACTCCACGTGGCTTTGTGAAAACAAGTCCATTTAATTTTTTCTGACCTTTTTAATAAGGTTCTTGCTACTGGGTGGAAGTCGAGGAAAGACTAGATCTACTTCCTATGAAACATATGACTTTGAGATAATGTAGAAAAGATAAATTAAAAGAAAGCTGATTTACTTATCAAAAAGACTCTCACAGTGAAACAAGGGGAAGGATCTGCCCCAAACCCCACAAGTCAGAGCCTGGAGACAGAAGACAAGCCACCTTCTTGCACTGCTTAATGAGACAGGAAGATCCTTTAGGATGTAATGTTTCCTTAAAAGTAGTATAAATATAGAGGAATTTTTTTGATGAAGTAGCTTGTGTTCCCCCAGTAAAAATAAACAAAACCAAAAAAAAAGGAATCCACTAACCAAACTGCATGAGGAATGAGTAGCTGGTAAGTAGAACAAGGACCTTTATGTCAGAAACAGTACTGACCTCATACCTAGCAAAAGCCACATATCCAGACTAAATCCTTGCTCCAAGACAGATTTTAAGTTAAACCTATACAGGAGTCCCTTGGAAAAAAATGCACATTTCTCAGTTGCAAGACTAAGGGAAGACACTAATGACTTGTTGGTTCTCAAAGCTTCCTCACTCCATCAGTAAGTAAGTAAAGTCTCATGCCAGTTTTTGATTGTTTGAAGGGGCAGCCAAAAGACTCTGGTTACGTATGTACACGTCTCAGACAAGCCTGCCAGCAACTGACATTACTAGTGTTAAGATGGTCCTAAGGGCTGTATGGCTGCAGAGAGCACTGTGTGAAACAGGGAAATACATTTTTTTTTGGTTGCTCTGATGTGTAAGTATGTTTAAAGACAACTAAGCCATGTAACGGTTTGGGGTTTTTTAATGATTGAAGTTATACCCAATGCATACTGGACAATTTACATTTGCAAGCAATACACCTTTGCACTTCAGTTACAGCACAGTCTGCCCATTTTACCAGGACCAGAAAAAGAGCCTACTGCCAAATGGAGAAGGCTTCAGCTCTGCTTCAATGGGTGGATTTGGCTCTGGTCTAGGTCTAGAGTGATAGACATTCTCAGGCATAGGACGGTCTGTCTTCACTTTCGTGACCTGGAAAGAAAAAAAAAGAAATGATACAACTTCTCACAGTATTTAATAGAAAAGCTAGATTGAGTCAGAACTTAAAGGAAGAACTACCAAGAAGTACCAAATGACACACTGGTGATTTCATTAGAGCTCCTATCTACAGAGTACTTCTTAAAAAAAAAAAAAAGGGGGGGGGGGGGCGCATTTCACTCATAACTACAGAGTAGTTCTCTGTGTGTGTGAGCTTCACTCCTAAAGAAAAGGCGTCTGCGCTAGAAAGAGCAAAAACCTAACAGTAAGTGGCACTGTCTAAGAGAAGTTCAAATCTTCTGGGAAAGCAACCCTGGAGAACGTTGACAAGAGTTTTGACTTCTAGTTCACAAGCTTCCAGCGCTGAGTTCATGAATCACCTTCTGGTCAGGAGAAGTGTTTGACACCTCGTCCAGACAGAATGTCCGTAAGAAGGAAGAGAAGAATCTGGCTATCTGATCAAAAAGGTATGAAGTTACCTTAGATAGCTGTCCCAGATCAGGTCTCACCCAACCCAACTTCTCCAGCACACAGTTATCAAATACTGCCTGCTGCTTTCGGCATCGACGGAGCTCCTGCAAGTTGGTATAGTCAATGCATGTCCAGTACTCAGTAAATGGCTCTGCACAGTGAGTCTTAATCTTCCTGTAAGAAAAAGATCACAGAAAGAAAATCGTTAGCAAGTGTTGTGAATTTAATGTTTTTCACTCATTCAAACCTCAACTTGTGATAGTGTTTTTGTAGTTTTAAGCAAGTAGTTCTCAGGAACATTTAAGGTCTTCAGAGAATTCAGTATTTGAAGCATCATTAACCAGAACTTCATACCAATACTAGTAAAATTTGTATCACTGTAGCTACAGGAGGGATAGCAGTAACTTAACTAATATGTGTAAGGTATTCTTGCTAGGTAAATGTACACAGCTCCTCCATATGGAATCTCTGTTCTGCCAAGCAACCTAATATACAGCATACAATTCTCTAATGCTTCCAAATTAATTTGGTGTCTCAAGCTCAAAAAGACATGCTTAGGACAGAGGTTTCTGATTACCAGCTGCTATACCAGAAGTGGACATACTTTGAGCTAATTAAACTAGGCCTTTTGCTAGCAACTTAAGAACATGACACTGGCATGTGCCTTGATCTACATTTTTGGTCACAAGAGGTAAACTGTGTGTCTACCTGAGCTTTCACAGTAGTACACCAGTGAAACAGAGAGGAGAGACAATGCAAAGCAGAGGTCAGTTTCCTGGATTTCATAACACAAATGCAAGACGCAGAAGCAGCAAGCCTTCCGCTGCCCCCCAGGATTCCTTTGCTACCCCAACAAAAAACTGAGCCACCTACTCAGGAGCAGAGGCCATGGAGCTTCACATGAAAGGATAAATTAAAGTATAACTAAATAAAAGAAAACCAAAAAGGGAACAGCGTCTATTCTCAAGCGTTAAAGTTTAAGAATGAACAATAAAGACTCTGAAGGCCATGGTGGTAGCAGCATTTTTAATCAAACCCAGTGAGAGCCAGCGCTCGAATAACAAAGCTCGGCAAGGACGAGCTACACCGGGAGAACCCCCGAGAGACCTTCACCTTCAAGGCAAACGAGGGCCTCCGCCGGGCAGTGGGAGGCGGGCGGCCGCCGGGGGAGCCTGGCCGGGAGATTCCCGCTCACCTGAAGAAGTCGAGAGCGCACTGGGTGAACT